ATTTTATTCTTATTGAATCGTTTAAAATCATAAATATTTATTTAAAGCCTTCAGTTCTCTTAAAATAAAATATGGGTCAAGTATAAACAACATCGAATATTATTATTAAAATTATTTGAATATTTGGTGAAACTATTCTGAAAATTGTACTAAACGTTTATTCTGAAAATATCGAATGCTTTATTTAAAATTGTGTATTGTTTGAATTTTGAACATCACTCTAGTCTGACTATGATTTGGACCCTAGCCAATGGGGTTATTTATTGGCACAGAAACTAGTTTCTTTTGGGGCTTTACCACCGGCCTATGTGTGGTTCTGGGCCTTGTCACGGGCTATGTGACCGTAGTCAATAAGACTTGGGTTTTGTGAATCAAATCATTGAACCATCTGAATATCGAACCATCGATTTGAACAATGAATTACTTTGAATTATCTTGTTGGCTTTTCATTTAAAATGTATTGTACATTGTTTATTTTTAGCTATGAAACCATCTTACAAAATAATTGTTCATTTATTGAACTGTAGAAAAATTTATATTTATTGATTATCAATTTATTTATTTATTTTTTTATACTTGATCCAGCTGGCAGTGATGGTTGGTTATTTACTAGGCTGTCTAGCTTACCCTTATTTATTTTTTTCAGATTCTGAAGAGTAGAACTGCGCGGGATTTTTTTTTACATATGGGGAGTGCGAGAGTAGGACTATGATTTAAGTACTTGGATTATTTGTTTTGTTAATGGATTTTATTAGTGGACTTGGTGGATAATTTCATATGATAAGAATAATCAATTTTTTTTTATGGATTTTAGTATTATGATAATTAAGGATTTGATTGGAGTATTTTACATTGTTAGTATGTGTTGGGACTCTTAGCCTTGCATGCTCACTTAAATGAGTGTGCGGCGTTGTCACGGAGCTTGGGACGTGACATTAACTGATTATGAATATTTGGTATTTATGTTTTGTACATAACAATATGCTCATTTTATTTTTGAGTATGTGATTTTCTGTCTCAAATCTTCTTGTCGCCATGTTCCAAAACATTCATAGTTTGATTATATCTTGAGATTTCTATATTTCAAAATTCTCACATCATCAAATAATTGTACGTTCTTTGAGACAAGCCTCATAGTAACATTTTAGCTTGTTTTGCTATAGCCATTAGTGCATGTTATCAAAATGACAAATCACATTAATACTCCTTGCTTTGTATCTCATGTCAATTTTGGTCTATGGTTTTTAAGTGTAACAAATTTGTTGTTTAATTTTACATATTTGTATTTAATTACTTCAATCGACAATGGCCGCTAGACATTCTATACTATAAAATTGACTTGTTTGGCCATTTCACACAAGGCATAAGAGGAAATAATTTTTTTCCATCACCGAAAATTGACTTGTAGCTTATTTTGTAACAAAATAATATAAAATTAATTTTAATAGTTACGACTTACAATTCTGTACTTTGAAAATGAGAGGCACACTATGACTAGGAGAGTAAATAACATCTTTATCTTTAAACCTAAGAAACCGAATTTATGCTAAAAATTTTTATATTAACAAGCAGAGAGCTAATTCATACTCAGTAGTTAGAAAAATGATGGATGCAAATTAGCCCAAATTTACATACAGAAACAAAAAGTAGTTCCACTTTATGCCACTGTTTTCAACTCTCAGTTTTCCTTTAATCGTTGGCTACATTTGCAATCTTCTTGAGAAAGCAGAAATCCATCTTCGAGTACTATCTGAGGAACAAGATTAAATATAATTCAATATAAACGCATACATATAATGGAGTTATTAACCAAAATAATACATATACAAGCATATGTACCTTATTGCTAGTTAGAGAATATAATATATTCAAAAAGCTGTGGACATCTTACCTAAAAAGCATGACCATATTTTTGGTACACAGCCCAGCCAACATGAATGTATAGATCCTGTCAAAGATAACTTAACAATTGAAGTGGCCACATGTGTGGGTAGAAGACCAAATATTAGCACAATAATACATTGATACATTCAATAGATATTTTGATTGGGCATACAATAATTTAAAACAAGTTTTTGCCCACAAGCAAGATATTTTTTAAAACTCGATGCTGAAATAAAAAAGATATTCCTATTTTTAATTAAAGGTAAATTATTTGGCTTCAAATTAAAGGCCCAAACAAATTCAAGTGTTTGAAAGTAGGCATTAAGGGAACACAAACAGAAGATGGAAACAATAAGTTCATGAAAACCAAGTCATAGGATAGGCAACAGTTGCTACTAGGAAAACAATGTATCTGTTCCATCAAATTCAAGAAGATCAAGCCATTGTATTTCAACACATTGAAGGAGTAGAGAAATTACCAACCAAACATCGAGTAATCGTCCAATATTAAAGAGATGACTCAAATTAAATTAAATTGTTAAAAATGTTACAGTCAAGGTTCAAGGTTGAATAACATGCTAAGATTCTACTTTGTGCCATTTTATGGAGTGAGAAACCCCAGTACTGAGTGAGCAGCCCATATCTAACCCCACCCTCAAATGCCCTGTGAAAGTGAAGGTGAATGCGGATGAGGTTGAGACACGTTGAACAAGACTCTATTGCTACTACTTGTACTACTTTTGCTTCGAAGAATGAGTTTTTTCAGAGGCTGTGGAGTGTTGATGATGAGATTGTGATTCTGCAGGGTATTATGGACTACACTACCACCAAAGGTGTGGACCCCTCTACCTACATGAATGCTTTTTTCCTTTTCATCAAGGATTCTATTCATGTTAATGATACCAAGACCCAATTGTCCGACAAAGTCCGCAAGTTGAAGAAACAATACAAGACCAATGCCATCAAAGCTAAATTGCCCTCCTACCCCCTTGACTAATAACTCTATGATTTGTCCCAAACGATCTGGGATTTCAAACTAATGCTGTTAAACTTGATACCACAAACAATAACAAGGACGTGGTTCATGGGAAACCAATTCTAAAAGACGGCGCTCTTAACAAGATGGCAGAAATTGAAGAGAATGGAAGAAGCTCCAAATCTACCAACTTCAACTCTACTTAAGGAGGGTATAGTTGATCCACGAGAAAACAATTTCTTACTCCTTCATTGTGTTTAAATACAGTGGCTTGATCTTCTTGAATTTGATAGAGTAGATACATTGTTTTCTTAATAACAACTATTGCCTAGCCTGTGACTTGGTTTCAATGAACTTATTGTTTCCATCATCTGTTGTGTTCCTTTAATGCCTACTTTTCACACACTTGCATTTGATTGGGCCTTTAAATTTGAAGCCAATTTTTATTTACCTTTATTTAAGAAAAGGGATTCCTTTTTTATTTCAGCATCAAGTTTTAAAATAATATCTGGCTGTGGGCAAACTTATTTTAAATTATTGTATGCTCAACCAAAATATCTATTGACTATATCAATGTACTGTTGTGCTGATATTTGGTCTTTTGCCCACACATATGGCCCACTTCGATTGTTAAATTATCTTTGACAGGATCTGTACATTCATGTTGGCTGGGCTTTGTACCAAAAATATGGTCATGCTTTTTACATAAGATTGTCCACAGCTTTTTGAATGTTTTATTTTCTCTTTAACTTTAATAACTCCATATATGTACGTGTTAAGATAGGAATTATATTTAATCTTGTTCCTTGTGCAGATAGTACTCAGAGATGGAATTCTGCTTCTCAAGAAGATTGCAAATGTGGCCAACGGTTAAAGGCAAACCAAGAGTTGGAAACAATGGCCATAAAGTGGAACTGCTTGTTGTTAGTCTCACGGAGAATGAAAAGTTAATCTTTTTCTATATTTTGTTTCTGTATGTAAAATTGGTTGATCGTTTGATGTATCAAGTAAAAGCTTAATTCAAATACTAAGATACTAAGAGATTAAAGGACAACAACAACCAATAAGTAATGACAGGATCCACGGAACCTAAGTCCGGATACAATAATTTAAAGAGAAAAGACCGGGGTCGCTATAAAGGCAGTGAAAGTGAATGTGAATGCGAATGGGGTTGAGGACACGTTGAACAAGACTACTACAGCTACTACTTGTATTACTTTTGTTTTGAAGAAGGTGTTTTTTTAGAGGTTGTGGAGTGCTAATGATGACCTTGCGATTCTCTAGGGTATTATTGACTACACTGCCACCAAAGGTGTGGACCCTTCTACCGACATGAATGCTTTTTTTCTTTTCATTAAGGATCCTATTCATGTTCATGATACCAAGACCCAATTGTCCGAGAAAGTCCGCAAGTTAAAGAACAAATACAAGACCAATGCCACCAAAGCTAAATTTCCCTTCAACCCCCATGACCAACAACTCTATGATTTGTCCCAAAAGATCTGGGATTTTCAAACTAATGCTGCTAAACTTGATACCACTAACAATAACAAGGACATGGTTCATGGGAAACAAATTCTAAAAAAGGGTGCTCTTAGCAAGATGGCAGAAATTGAAAGAGAATTGAAGAAGCTCTAAATCTACCAACTTCAACTCTACTTGAGGACGGTAGAATTGATCCGCGGGCAAACAAAGCTATTTCTTTAATCCGTAAAGTAAGATAACTTATGGTTTTTGGTTTGATCTTGACTGATATAGAAAAACAAGAAGAAGAAGACAAGTTTTTTTTTGTTTGGGTAGGAAGGAGTTTGATTAGTACTTAATTGGTTATGGACATGCAACATTTTTTTGTATTATTAAGACATTAGGGCAGGTTTTACTTCTAGTAAGGTATATTATGGCTTTTGGTTTGTTGACGATTGATGCACAAATGAAGGATGGTTTTGGTTAATTGTTTTGTTTTTGGTTGGGGTTTGGTAAATTAACTGATTATGAATATTTGGTATTTATGTTTTGTACATAACAATATGCTCATTTTATTTTTGAGTATGTGATTTTCTGTCTCAAATCTTCTTGTCGCCATGTTCCAAAACATTCATAGTTTGATTATATCTTGAGATTTCTATATGAGCTTGGGACGTGACATTAACTGATTATGAATATTTGGTATTTATGTTTTGTACATAACAATATGCTCATTTTATTTTTGAGTATGTGATTTTCTGTCTCAAATCTTCTTGTCGCCATGTTCCAAAACATTCATAGTTTGATTATATCTTGAGATTTCTATATTTCAAAATTCTCACATCATCAAATAATTGTACGTTCTTTGAGACAAGCCTCATAGTAACAATTTAGCTTGTTTTGCTATAGCCATTAGTGCATGTTCATCAAAATGACAAATCACATTAATACTCCTTGCTTTGTATCTCATGTCAATTTTGGTCCATGGTTTTTAAGTGTAACAAATTTGTTGTTTAATTTTGCATATTTGTATTTAATTACTTCAATCGACAATGGCCGCTAGACATTCTACTATAAAATTGACTTGTTTGGCCATTTCACACAAGGCATAAAAGGAAATAATTTTTTTCACCATCACCGAAAATTGACTTGTAGCTTATTTTGTAGCAAAATAATATAAAATTAATTTTAATAGTTACGACTTACAATTCTTGTACTTTGAAAATGAGAGCACACTATGACTAGGAGAGTAAATAACATCTTTATCTTAAACCTAAGAAACCGAATTTATGCTAAAAATTTTTATATTAACAAGCAGAGAGCTAATTCATACATCAGTAGTTAGAAAAATGATGGATGCAAATTAGCCCAAATTTACATACAGAAACAAAAAGTAGTTCCACTTTATGCCACTGTTTTCAACTCTCATTTTTCCTTTAATCGTTGGCTACATTTGCAATCTTCTTGAGAAGCAGAAATCCATCTTCGAGTACTATCTGTATAAGGAACAAGATTAAATATAATTCCAATATAAACGCATACATATATGGAGTTATTAAACCAAAATAATACATATACAAGCATATGTACCTTATTGCTAGTTAGAGAATATAATATATTCAAAAAGCTGTGGACAATCTTACCTAAAAAGCATGACCATATTTTTGGTACACAGCCCAGCCAACATGAATGTATAGATCCTGTCAAAGATAACTTAACAATTGAAGTGGGCCACATGTGTGGGTAGAAGACCAAATATTAGCACAATAATACATTGATACATTCAATAGATATTTTGATTGGGCATACAATAATTTAAAACAAGTTTTTGCCCACAAGCAAGATATTATTTTAAAACTCGATGCTGAAATAAAAAAAGATATCCCTATTTTTAATTAAAGGTAAATATATTTGGCTTCAAATTTAAAGGCCCAATCAAATTCAAGTGTTTGAAAAGTAGGCATTAAGGGAACACAAACAGAAGATGGGAAACAATAAGTTCATGAAAACCAAGTCATAGGATAGGCAACAGTTGCTACTAGGAAAACAATGTATCTGTTCCATCAAATTCAAGAAGATCAAGCCATTGTATTTCAACACATTGAAGGAGTAAGAAAATTACCAACCAAACATCGAGTAATCGTTCCAATATTAAAGAGATGACTCAAATTAAATTAAATTGTTAAAAATGTTACAGTACAAGGTTCAAGGTTGATAACATGCTAAGATTCTACTTTGTGCCATTTCTATGGAGTGAGAAACCCAGTACTGAGTGAGCAGCCCATATCTAACCCCACCCTCAAATGCCCTGTGAAAGTGAAGGTGAATGCGGATGAGGTTGAGGACACGTTGAACAAGACTACTATTGCTACTACTTGTACTACTTTTGCTTCGAAGAATGAGTTTTTTCAGAGGCTGTGGAGTGTTGATGATGAGATTGTGATTCTGCAGGGTATTATGGACTACACTACCACCAAAGGTGTGGACCCCTCTACCTACATGAATGCTTTTTTCCTTTTCATCAAGGATTCTATTCATGTTAATGATACCAAGACCCAATTGTCCGACAAAGTCCGCAAGTTGAAGAACAAATACAAGACCAATGCCATCAAAGCTAAATTGCCCTCCTACCCCCTTGACTAATAACTCTATGATTTGTCCCAAACGATCTGGGATTTTCAAACTAATGCTGTTAAACTTGATACCACAAACAATAACAAGGACGTGGTTCATGGGAAACCAATTCTAAAAGACGGCGCTCTTAACAAGATGGCAGAAATTGAAAGAGAATGGAAGAAGCTCCAAATCTACCAACTTCAACTCTACTTAAGGAGGGTATAGTTGATCCACGAGAAAACAATTTCTTACTCCTTCATTGTGTTTAAATACAGTGGCTTGATCTTCTTGAATTTGATAGAGTAGATACATTGTTTTCTTAATAACAACTATTGCCTAGCCTGTGACTTGGTTTTCATGAACTTATTGTTTTCCATCATCTGTTTGTGTTCCTTTAATGCCTACTTTTCACACACTTGCATTTGATTGGGCCTTTAAATTTGAAGCCAATTTTATTTACCTTTATTTAAGAAAAGGGATATCCTTTTTTTATTTCAGCATCAAGTTTTAAAATAATATCTGGCTTGTGGGCAAACTTATTTTAAATTATTGTATGCTCAACCAAAATATCTATTGACTATATCAATGTACTGTTGTGCTGATATTTGGTCTTTTACCCACACATATGGCCCACTTCGATTGTTAAATTATCTTTGACAGGATCTGTACATTCATGTTGGCTGGGCTTTGTACCAAAAATATGGTCATGCTTTTTACATAAGATTGTCCACAGCTTTTTGAATGTTTTATTTTCTCTTTAACTTTAATAACTCCATATATGTACGTGTTAAGATAGGAATTATATTTAATCTTGTTCCTTGTGCAGATAGTACTCAGAGATGGAATTCTGCTTCTCAAGAAGATTGCAAATGTGGCCAACGGTTAAAGGCAAACCAAGAGTTGGAAACAATGGCATAAAGTGGAACTGCTTGTTGTTAGTCTCACGGAGAATGAAAAGTTAATCTTTTTCTATATTTTGTTTCTGTATGTAAAATTGGGAAAATTTTCATCCATCCTTTTCCTAACTACTGATGTATGAATTAGCTCTCCGCTTGTTAATATACAAATTTTTAGCATAAATTCACTTCCTCAGGTTTAAGATAAAGATGTTATTTACTCTCCTAGTCATAGCGTGCTCTCATTTTCAAAGTACAAGAATTGCAAGTCATAGCTTTCGTTACAAAATAAGGTACAAGTCAATTTTTGGTGATGGTGAAAAAAATTATTTCCCTCTATGCCTTGTGTGAAATGGCCAAACAAGTCAATTTTATATTTGAATGCCTAGCGGCCATTATCGATTGAAGTAATTAAATAAAAATATGCAAAATTAAACAACAAATTTGTTACACTTAAAAACCATAGACCAAAATTGACATGAGATACAAAGCAAGGAGTATTAATGTGATTTGTCATTTTGATTAACATGCACCAATGGCTATAGCAAAACAAGCTAAATTGTTACTATGAGGCTTGTCTCAAAAAACGTACAATTATTAGATGATGTGAGAATTTTGAAGTATAGAAATCTCAAGATAATCAAACTATGAATGTTTTGGAACATAGGGACAAGAAGATTTGAGACAGAAAATCACATACGTACTCAAAAATAAAATGAGCATATTGTTATATTCGAAACATAAATACCAAATATTCATAATCAGTTAATTTACCAAACCCCAACCAAAAACATCCTTGATTTGTGCATCAATCATTAACAAACCAAAAGCCATAATATACCTTACTAGAAGTAAAACCCATCCTAATTTCTTAATGACACAAAAATACAGCATATCCATAACCAGTTGAGTACTAATAAAACTCCTTTCTACCCAAACCAAAAAACACTTGCCTTCTTCTTCTTGTTCTTCTATATCAGTCAAGATCAAACCAAAAACCATAAGTTATCTTACTTTACTTATTCTAGAACTAGCTTTGTTTACTCGTAGATCAATTCTGCCCCTCTCAAGTAAAGTTGAAGTTGGTAGATTTGGAACTTTTTCAATTCTCTTCAATTTGTGCCATCTTGTTAAGAGCGCCCTCTTTTATAATTGGTTTCCCATGAACCACGCTCTTTTTATTGTTAGTGGTATCAAGTTTAGCAGCATTAGTTTGAAAATCCTGGATCTTTTGGAAGAAATTATAGAGTTGTTGGTCATAAGGATTGGAGGGAAATTTAGCTTTGGTGGCATTGGTCTTGTATTTGTTCGTCAACTTGCGGACTTTTTTCGGACAATTGGGTCTTGGTATCATGAACATGAATAGGATCCTTGATGAAAAGAAAAAAACCATTTACATCGGTAGAAGGGACCACACCTTTGGTGGTAGTGTAGTCAATAATACCTTAGAGAATCGCAATCTCATCATCAACTCTCCATAGCCTCTGAAAAAACACCTTCTTCGAAGCAGAAGTAGTACCAGTAGTAGCAATAGTAATCTTGCTCAATGTGTCCTCATGTAACAACCCACGTTCATGTCCTAATCATGCTTGCATGCATTTATGTGTTTTGCCATGTTAAGTTGTTGTAACAACCCATATTCATGTTGTAGTCATGTACATG